GGCCGTATCGATCGCACCGCTCGCAATCACATCCAAGCGGACACGCTAGCTTTGGAGGGTTAAATCGACGGGGACCTGCTGATGGTGGTCTTGGTTTCCGCCGGAAACAGACGTAGTGACCGAACGAATGCTGGCCGTAATGGCAGACTACGGCGGACAGGCGATAGATGGTACGCGGGGTAGCATATGCCGCGGGCGTGGGGGTGGTGCTGCGGGGGATGGAAGGGGGCGGAGTGGAGATTGGTACTGGGGGCGGAGTGGAGATTGGTACTGAGGGACTAGTAGAGAGCTGGCCAGATGTTGTGTATGGTGTGAGATCAAGGACTTCCGGGAAGATCACTCGACAAGTGTTTTTGGAGGCGTAGTGGCCGTAGTGCACTGAGCGGTTAAGGTGGAGTGCGAGCACACGAGGCGGCTACATGGCCCATGTCGGACACAGCAAGAGACATGGAAGAGAGAGGACGCACCCGAGCGATCATTGCTTGCTTCGTCGAGGCCCTGCTAAACACCTTCTCCATTTTCACCCCCTTGATGTCTTCCTCGATCCGGCCATCATCGAGCGCGGCCTTCATGCGTGCGACCAACTTCCGCGCCTCACGTGCGCGTTTCTTCTTAGATGTCGAGGGATCCTGGTCCGCGTTCGCGAGGTCAGTCAGCTTCTCAGCCTCAGCCTCTAGGCGACGGTACGTCGCGAGCATTGAACACTTCCGGCAAATACAGTCGGTTAGAATTTCCAATCGGGTATAGTCGTCCAAGCAGTCTTCTAGGCGACACTGGGCCTATGAGGTCATCGTCAGACGTATACCGTTAGTATCAGAGATGAGCGTACCGCCATGCGAGGCATATTCAATTGCCAGTTGTCAAACGCGAAGTGCATGACTGCCTCGGTGTATCCACATTCGACGCAGCTGCGTCGGTTAGCCGTCAACCCGTCAAAAACATTCTTGCCAAGTTCGCGGCTAGCGGGGCCTTGAGCCTGGCCAAGGGCACCGAGACCGCGATCTCGATGGCCTTCCTTCTCCACTGCAGCAGCCTCGTTCTTGATGCATTCGGAAAGAAGCTGGAAAAGTTCTTGCGCATCTTGGTGCTCTCGTGAGGAGAAGAGGGTGTTATGTTTCGACGGAGAGTTTTTGGATAGTGCGTCGATGATATCAAGAGGCCGTAGTGCCTGAGGGGCGGAAGTCGGAGTATTGAGTGCTATGCCAACGATCAGTCAGAGCTCACCACGAGGACAAGTAACGCTCTGACTGTTTAAAAGGTCTCGTAGGGCATCTATGACTGGCGTTGGGACATCAAGTGCTTCGGCCTTAGCATGAATATGCTCTATCTGGGGCTGCAGATAGCAAAGAGACGCCATTGCCTGAGCAGTCGGACGTCAGTAAAAGAACAGCAAGTTCGCGGGTAGCATGCACCTGCAATGTCGAGTCCAGGAAGCAGTACGTGCCAGAAATGTTGACCAGCCCCGGATAGTAGCATCCATCGTAGGACGCCTTTGGCAACGGTTCTATCGACAAGCATTCGTTCGGTGGACCGAGCAACACGCGCCAGGGTGGCGAACGTACCAAGCTGGTGCTGCTCCTGCTGAAGCCTCGTACGGATGTGTTTCTTCTTCGACTTACGCTTCTCGTGAGTTGAGTTCGAGCCGGAATGACTGTCAAACCAGTTCCATGGTAATGCGCCTGATAATGCTTCGAGTACCATGAAAGTCGACGATACGATCGAGCCTTTGCGAGAGTTGGCAGTGAACACCAGCAATGGGACGAGCAGGACGAAAAATAGAGGAAACAGCTGTTGGAATGCTGGACTGGAAACGAGTTCGAGGAGGAGGTAGCGGAAGTCTTCCAGAGGCTGCATGTGCGCAAGATTCTTATGCCTTGCGCGGCGACATGAGCGAGTCGATGAACGAGCACGCTTAGCTCGCACTCAGCTAAGCCGCTCATAGACGAAGCTCCCAGTCATAGGCTGTGTTGTCCAATATAAATTGCCAACATTCTTATGGCTACCTGGCGCAATGGTAGCGCGTTTGGCTTCGATCGCCTACGTCACCAAAAGGTTGCAGGTTCGAGTCCTGCGGTGGTCATTCCTGGTTTTTGCTTCTGTTGACCAGTCAAATTCTCCATTCATGCGTGGAGGCTTGCTGAGGATTGACTAGCAATAGCTACTCTGCGCAAATGGATGCATGCTACAGATACATGACGATGCGTTGAGATACAATAAACAAATTGCCGTGCCTGCTACTTTCGGTGCGAATGAGGTCTTATGTATCATTATATGTCCAGTGGCACCCATGGTCCGAATACGTATAAGTTATGAAGAAAATACATATCCGTCCTCCTTCCTATGGAACTCACATGGCTGACGACCTATCGCCGTTCCCTCGCCGGCGGACACCCTTCTCACCGTGAGCTGATTCTCCCCGGGAACGCGAACGCGAACGCAAAGCTCATCCGTGTCCTCGTCGATAAAGTGTAAGTCACCGCAGACCCCTTCTGCGTACGGATGGGGGAAGAATTCGTCGTCGTCCGGTTCATCGAGATCATGCAAGAACGCATGCGCGAGGGCTTGTTTCGGGGTAATGCGTTGCGTTGCCTCTGGGTGCATGACCCGCTCAACGAAGTCGAGTGCCTTCTCGACATCTGCAGCGTATGCCTCTGTATCTATCGCGGCCAGTGACGCAGGTGGTGGAGACGACCGTGACGGTGAGTACCGTGACTGAGGCGAAGAAGAGGGTGGCGGGCCTGCTTGGTGCCGCAAAAAACCAGTGTGAGGATAGAAACGTGGATCCGGCTCTGGCGGCGTCCGGAGATCGGGATTTTGCTGCTCGACAAATTCGCGCCAGGTCATCCCCTCAGGTGTTACCGATGGGACGTTCGTCTGGAACACGCGACCTAAAGGACAGGTTGTTAGATCGAAGCATCGGACATTTGACGGGACGCCTTACTGTGCAAGGTCGCTGTCTTCTCCATTCTCTTCTTGCCGATGATGCTGGCGATTTCCATGAGTGCTTCCACGTCATCGCTGGAGTGGAACAACGGAAATTTCCTTGTGAGGAAGAAGAGCAGAATCATCCCTGCTGACCAGACATCGATAGCTGTGCGAGAGGTATTCGTTTATTAAGTCATAAAGAAAGGCCGTCAGCTTGTGCGTTCCTGAACAAATTGCATTGAACCCTGACCTCCCGTCTGTTCGCCACATTTGAGAAGCACCTCGGGTGCACGAAACCCTCTCGTGCCGGCTCGGTTTGCCTTTGAGATGGGTCTTCACGAATGTCAATAGGCTGATATCAACGCGAGCACAATGTGACAATTGTACCTTGTATCCTTCTCTAGGTATCCAACACGTTCTGAGGGCAGGGAGCTCTTCAAGCGGCCTTCCTTCTGCATACGCTTGACGTGATCTACGTCGAATTCTGCGCGCGGTCGTATTCGGCCATGCGGATAATCAGGAGTCGGTCCTGTATGGAGACAGGCACCTAGCGTGGGCCCGCGCTCGACTCGCTGCGGAAATTGGAGGGTTCATTGTCAGTACAAGCGTCACGGAGCGTTCTGGCTAGGTGGGAATGCAATCATCGTAAGTAACGACTGGGACCACTCACACAGGCTAGTCCGAAGTCGCAAAGGGTGCCGATACCGGTACGAGGATCGAAAAGGAAGTTGGCTGGTTTCACGTCACGATGGATGATCGCTCGCGCGTGAACGTCGCGCAATGCTCGGAACATACATCGAAAATATGCCTTGATACCATCCATGGGCAGCACACGATAGTATTCCTAGCAGGACCAATAGATCGTGACCAGACGTGCTGCCATCGTATCAATGGCTCGAAGCAATTCGCGAGCGCCACTCACTCTGAAGTCGATATTCCGGTGGTAAGGCATAATGGCGACGACCTGGTCATGTTGTCGGAACGCTGTGATCAGCTGCGAGATGTGGCGGCAGCCTCTGCAGTCCTCCATAATAGAAATCTCGTTGCGAATTCTTTCAGGTCCACTGGTGACATATATGCGCTTGACGGCAACGAAGACTTTGCTTCCAGGAGGCCGGGATAGCGACTGGTAGGATGCGGACGGAGAACGGTAGCCCTGCCATGGTGCGTTATCCCACCTGTCATGATATCCAAGATCAATGGCTTTGTAGACGGAAGAGAACGTGCCAGTGCCCAGTCGGTCGACGATCTTGTAATCTGGGGTCAGTTGCGGAACAGTGGTTTCGAGGTCGGCGATCTCCTCCTCTATTTCCTCTTGCTCCTCTCGTGCTTTGAGGTGGATGGTTAGCTCCTCATCGGTTTCTACATGACCCCCCTGTTCGTCAAGTATATCTCCGTCTATCTCGCTCTCCACATCCTCGTCCCCAAGGCAATCTCCCAGACTATCCCTGAGCTCTTCTTCTGGCTCATCTCCCTCGTGTTCCTGCCCGATTCCTCCGTCCTCGTAGTCGTCTTCGTCCAGACAGTCATTGAGGGGTTCCGCCGGAAGAGCAATTAACTCGTCCTCGCTGAACATGTCCTCATTGAACTCTTGGTGAACGGAGGAGTCCTGAGGCCTTGTGGCAGTGAACGGCCGTCTCGTGTTCGGATAGAGCTGAGCGATATGCGAATGATATTGTTCCAAGTCTGGGACGTTACATCCCATCAGTGGATCGTCAGACGAAGAGATACAGTCCCCTTCGTCCTTCTGCTGCTTTTTCGCGCGCATAAGCTGGCGTCTGTAGGCTTTGTTGCGAGCGTCAGAGGACGAAACCTCCAGCGGATTGGAGGAATGCTGCGACAAGAAAGTAGCCGTAGCCATGAGACCTCAGTCAACCAGACAGACTGTAAGATAGAAATGATAGCATCAAAATGAAGTTTGCGGCGGGGTATATGAAGGAGAGAGCGAGCAGTTTAAGTGTTACGCCACGAGCAGGTCGATGCCAGATGACCGATTTAACCCGCGACGCGACGCGTTGTTGAATATTCGCGGAACGGTCACGTGGGAAGCCAGAAGGTTGCGGAACAAAACGGAATGACCACCGCAGGACTCGAACCTGCAACCTTTTGGTAACGTCGGCGATCGAAGCCAAACGCGCTACCATTGCGCCAGGTAGCCACAAAAAAGCTAATTAAAACGCATTTATATCAGTGCTGCCTTCTCAATCTCGGGATCAGTTCGTGACCGCTGATGGCTGATGATCGATGAGACTTTGTAGGTCACCGGTCAACATTTCAACGCTCGACAACACTCAGGCTAACGATACGTGCTGTAACATTGTACTACCTACGTATGTATCAAAGGAGTCGCATAGAATTTGAGGCATCATGGGCAATTGCAATATCTTTGCTCCCGGTGAGAACGCAGGCCGGGGATAAGGTGAGTGTGAGAGGAATTACCGACGCAGATGGTGAACGAGTAGCCACGGCACTGAGGGTGCACGTTGGTTGCACATGCACCGAGTTGATCTCGACGTCAAGTAAGGCTTCGCCTATACGGCCGCAAGGGCTTTCCCCACGCAACTGATGAAGCTCACCGACGGAGCTAACAGGCGTTTGGCGTGCGTACCATTGACATTGATTCCTGATGCGCTGAAGTCAGGAGCTAATATGGCTGCTTTCCTTAAAACGGATCTTACCTGTACACGTTTTGATTACAGTTGGCAGGCTCCATGGCGAGCTTCGTCCCGAGGCTGTTTCTGGAGGAGCAATAGATAGTTCAACATTTTTCTTACGCCGAGGATTTCTACAGATATAACATCCTCGTTCTAAAGCGTCGAAATCCACCGGAGAGACATATCTAGATCTCGGCGCCGCAGGTCACAATCCGTGGTTTCGGTAGTTCCCCTACTAATTATTGTCCATGTGAACGTATGCCAAGGGGCAGCGAAGCGTGGAACGTACAGATTATCCCAACTCTTCGACTCCGTTCACGAAGCTCCAGGTGAGAGGAACACGCCCAAGTGTGAGGCTAACACATTGTTGTCGTACCTGACATGCCGGAACCAGCTCCAGGATGGGTCCTAATTCGAAGGTTCTTCTCCAAATGGCCCTAGCTGCCGTATGCGGTTGTTCCGGCTGCGGACTAGGACCAGTCGTTATCGATACCGGTCATTCTGCGTCGCCTTTAGTTCTTGCTCCACTGCCTAAAGCCTCAGAGAAGAATGAACCTACTCGGCAAAGCCATCAATCGCAAGTCCATCGAACCTGCACCACAGCCTCTAAGCTGTCGCTCTAGTCTCTCGAGTCCTGTATTGAACGATGGACAAGATGATGGCGCAAGCCAGAGACCCCCGCGTGATCATCGGAGATGCCAGAGAAGATCTCTTCTCGACCACTATGTGGGAAGACACCATGAGTTACACCAGAACGGGTGGCAGGCTTCTTGTACTCGCTCTCACCGGATAAAGTGATGCAGCCCCAGCATATTTCAGCTCGTCCGCGCAATATGAGGACCCAGCCCGAGTTCCCATCCTGCGTGCGAGCGTGAATAATCACTACACACCCCGCGCCACCGCCATTGACACGAAAGCAGACCGTGGCTTGACGGGCATATGGAGGTATAAGAACCGGGTGCTTCTTGCCAATCCCCGGCTTGGTTTCCCTCCCGCACATCGCAGCTTTCCCCCCTCCTTCCTTCCCCGCCCGCCGACTCTTGTTTCTCGTTCCCAGAGCGGATACTTAGCAGAAATGTCTGACACGGAGAAATCGGGAAAGTCGGAGAACAACGTCACCGTGCTCACCAGGTCTGAGAGCCGAGGCAACATCAATTACTTCGGCGAGTCCTTGGATCCTGTCCCGCCTCGTCCGCTTGGGCCGGGCCAGCCGCCTCCACCTGTGGTGCACCAGTATGGTAACCCTGTAAGCCGACGAATCGTCTCTTCAATATTCGGCAGTTCTCCTAATGACCGACCCTCGCCAGACACCCCTTGGGATGTTGGCCTATGGGACGGTCTTCCTGTGCTCGTCGCTGTTGACCCTCGGTGCCGGTGGCGTAACGACGGCGAACCTTGTCCTGCTCTTCGCAGTGTTGTAAGTAGACCACTGCGCCCAACTCGCTCTAGAACTCGTTGTGACCAGAGTTCTGTAGCTACGGCGGTATCTCGCAGACGTTGGTCGGTATGTGGGAGTTCTACCTCGGGTAAGTCAGAACAATCATTGTGGATCTCGGCGTCGTTAACGATCGTCTGCAGCCATACCTTTGCAGGGTGAGTCCTCCGACGTATTCATATGGCATTGGGTTGGGTATAGACCTGTCCTGTACTCAGGACTGTCTTCGCAACCTATGGAGGCTTCAACTTTAGCTATGGTGCGCTGTACCTGCCAGAGATCGGCATTGCGTAAGTTTCGTGCCGCTGAGAGGTCATTGACGGTGCTAACTCCCATTGAAGGTCTGCATACTCTGTGGACGGTGTGGTTACGGAGGAATTCACGCATGCGGTTGGTATCTACCTGGCCATCTGGTGGTAAGTGCGAGAACGCGATCAGAAGAAGAGGGAGGCTCACAGAACGTCTGTCAGTTTGATCACTGGTGTTTTCTTGTGAGTATTTCTGCGCAGCGTTCGGATACAGGCCGCTAACGTGCATTGTCACAGGATTGGTGCTCTGCGTACGACCGCCCCCATCGTCTGGACACTCGGGATGACGGTCATCGCGCTCGCTTGCCTTTCGTCTAACTGCTTCCACCGTAAGTCAACAGTACGACATCAGTACCTTCGCTGAACACCGTCCATACAGCGAACCCGCACGTCAACATCGCGGGCGGTGCATTCGGTCTTGCTGCCACTGCAGGAGCATACTACGGTGCCCTAACTGGCTTCTACACGCGGGCGTCGACGTTTGAGCAGATCCGTCTACCGCCGGTCGTCCTCGCGTACTCCGATCCGCAAACCGCATAAGCTGCACCCCGGTCACATATAACAGTCTGTCGCATAGAGTTTTGTCAATCCTGTCCTCACTCACTCTACGCGTCCTACAGCAGTGACCTTCATATTAGCGTAGGGTAGAGATACAGATTTCGAGCCCTCTGGACGCCGCGTGCATCCGGGTCTGATGTCATACAATCACGTCTTCATTCGTGTTCTCTCCACAATGCATATTCTGCCCAATAGTGTGGACAGCCGGTGAATCTGCATTGCAGTTATCGCAGACGCATATTCTGAGCGTGTAAAGACTCACAAAGCAGCCTCAGGCAACGTCATCACAGCGATTAGGCCGAGAGCACACGCACCACTGCATGTGGCATTTCTCCGTCCGAGAAGGTCACTGCACGTGTGCAAGGCACCTCGACTGCACACGATCTGCATGGTCGTTTCCATGCCCAGCGTACAGTAGACGAACCCAAACCACAACGGCGGTAATTGACAGAACGCACCAGAACAGTCTTGTACTTACTCCCTCAGGCAACGAGGAACAACACGCCTGCGCCCTTGCCGTCCACAGCATGACAGTCGTATTCTCACGGCGCGCGGTCTCTCCTATATGAAAACCCAATCATGATGGTCAGTCGCTCGAATGATCACATCAAATACCACCCAACCGTGCAGTACGACATACCCCAACTTCCAGCTCTCACCCTGAACCAGTTTTTCGACTTCTCGACAAACTAGCTGAACGGCGGAACTCACGAACCCGACAAGATGGCGCTCAACTGTGCTATGCTCAGCCCCGCGCGGGCACCCATCCCGCTCCCGAACGAGCTCACGATTAGGGACGTCAACGGTGGTGTCGAGCTTTGGCTCACAATCCCGGATGCCCCGCCAACCGGTGCATCCGCCGCAGGAGGTTCGGGGGGTGCGAGGAAGATGAAGGATGTGGGCAAGCTGTGGCTTACGGACCAGCGGGTGCGTCACCTCGCTTACTGTCGCCAAAGCGATGTGTACTGACTCCGAACTTGCCATCCGCATCCCTATTACTTATGCTTCCCTATCGCACACCGCTCGATCTCGCCAACCATATATGTACAGCTCATCTTCGTGTCCGACAATGGCAGCAAGTCCGGCCTCGAGTCACTCTCCGTGCCGCTGCTCTCCCTCCTCTCAACCAAGTTCGAGCAGCCCTACTTCGGCTCCAACTACCTCACCATCGACATCAGACCTTCGCCGGAAGGCAGGCTGACCGACGGAACGAGGGCGGAGATTCGCTTCAAGGATAAGGGGCTGTTTGAGTTTGCTAGCGCGCTTGAAAAGACGCGAGAGCGGGCAATCTACATGAAGCGACAGATGGCCGAGGAAGACGAGCTCCGTGCGTGTCGCTTCCTATGCTGTGGCCCCCTTACTGATCATGAATGCTTCGACAGCTACATACACACCAGCGGAAGCAGGTTCCTCGTCTTATGCCTCGAGAGTACCGGACGACGCCCCGCCTGGGTATGATGACTAGATAAAAGTCGCGTTACACTCGCGACGTCTCACAAGACTGTTAAACGATTCGGAAGGATGTAACACTATCTGTACGAGGACCATTATCTATCGTATAATCCAGCGGGAGTCCATTACCAAACCAACCGCACGATTGAGATGCTAACGCGCCACAGAAGTTACTGCAGTGCTGCCTTCACTATGCCTTCAAGCACCTCGTCCGTGCTCGCCGTCGCGCCGAATATCCCCCCTGAATGTTGCACCATCTTCACCGCAGCGGGATGCAACTCCTCCAGGGCCGCACCCGTTGCATCCTCCACCAACAAACACTCACACCCCCGATCGTTCCCCTCCCGCATCGTCGAATGCACACACACGTCCGTCGTCACGCCGCATATAACCAGCTTCTGCACCCCCCTCACCTTCAGCAGCAGCTCGAAGTCCGTATACGCGAACGCCGACCGCCCGGGCTTGTCGATGATCGGTTCCGCCGGGAGGGGATAGAGCTCCGGGACGACGTCGTGCCCGCGCTCGCCCCGGACGAGCAGCCTGCCCAGCGGGCCCTGGTCGCCGATGCCCACCCCTGAGGGCGTGTTGCGCGAGCGGAACAACTCGCGCGAGGAGAGCGTAGAGAGATCGGGGCGGTGGCCCTCGCGCGTGTGGTAGACGGGATAGCCGTGCTGGCGGAACGCCCTGAGGAGCCGCGCGATGTTCGGGATGGCAGCGCGGGTGCCGGCGACGGAGTGGCCCAGGTAGGCGA